TTGAAATGACGGCTTGAGACATTTTGTTCGAATTTCGACTTTAACTGTTATATAGTACTCTATATTTATATAGAGTACCGAAATCTCTAGAAATATGCAAGTTTAAACTAAATCTTGAGGTTCAATAGTTTTATAAAATAAATTATTTTTTTTTAATTCAATTCGATTAAATTTATCAATAACAAGAAAATAATATAAAATTTATTTATTAAAATTTAGTTCTAAAAAACTTAAAATCAAATTACAAAATAAAGTTAACAATAAATACGCAGCATGAGGTTATTTTAATTTATTTCAATGTCTTTATATTGAAAATCGTCATAATGAACAAGAGATACTATCGAAAAGATTTACGCTTTTGTTCGATCGACGTCAAATTTTCTCTTTTCGATGGTACAAGGTCTCGTTAGCTTGTTGTCTCAACGAATGTGTTACAAATGCGAACGATAAATACTCTGCTACTTTATGATGCAATAGAGACATGGTCAATAAAAACAGCAAATACTCGTACATTTAGAAATTATTATAATAATTTTCCCCTTTGTTCACAACTCATTTTGCAACTGAAATGTTTGCAAGTGTTAAATTCACTTTCTTTTATATTTTTTTTAATTTTTTATGCAAAATTTTTGCGAAATAATTCATAATGAATTCACAGAGATAAATTATAAAGTCACAACTTACATGATTCATATAATTAACTTTCCGTAGGGTAAGTTATAGTCAGGGCCGGTCCTACCTTGAATGCAATGCATGCAAAAAATGCGGGCGCACGCCTTAGGGAAATACGAGTGTTATGTTTAAAAATCATAGACTAGTTTTTTTTTGCTCTTTTGGCGTGATTAGCTCTATAGAATAAATCGCGAAATGAATAAGTTAAATGTTTCAAAGTCTAAATATTAATATTACACATCCATTAGAAATAATTGAGAATTTAAAAATATTTGATTATTATCAACCCGCGAATCGTCTCAATCGTCTAAATAAATTTAAAATCAATGTATTTTATGCGCTTTTAGATTATATCTAATTTTTTGTGTACTAGATCCAAAATGATTAAAAATTAATTAAAAAACTTAACGTAAATGTTTATATAATTTTAATGAAAAACTGTTAAAACAGTAAAATTATTGGGGGGGGGGGGCGCTAGAACAAATCTTGAATGCGGGCGCTGATTACCCCAGGACCGGCCCTGGTTATAGTAATCGCAATGAAATCGGAAATGATTTTTTTTTATTTTTTTTAAATTGTTTCAAAGATTTCTGAACATTTTGGCACACCATAAAAAAGGCGTATGTGTGTGGATACAATTTTTCATCGGTGATTTCGGGAATACGGATTAAACGATTTGAATAATTCAAATCCTATTGATGAGTAGACGTGCATATCAGATGCAGGTCCAGCCGTTTCGAAAGATGCGGAGCAAAAATGCCAAAAATGATAATTCAGTTTATGACAGAGTGTCCGATTTGAATGATTTCAAAAAAATTACTTATTTTGACTACATAAAAAACTGATTAAATTTTTGAAAAGACAAGTCCAGCGATTTCGGAGACTTAATGAAAAAGGTGAAAAAATGCCGTTTGGTGGTCAAAAATGATCATTAGTCATATGCAAATTAAATTATTAGATATTTTATAGAGATTTTAATAAGTACCAACTTTTCAAATATTCAATGTTTAACCGTGACTCTGCAACGAAGCGCTTCTATATTTGCTTTAAAAAAATCAATTTTATTAAAAAGTCTATTTTTTTTCAAAATTCCCAAAAGCTTTTCTTTCCAAAGTTTTCAATAAATTTTAAAGCTTTTGCAAATTTTCAATTACTGTATGGAAAGTTTCAGCAATCTGCCTTAAGACACAATCGCGATGCACCACTAGTTTAGATTTTAAATTCTACAAAGCTTGAATTGACAAATTGAAGGACTGAAGTGTTTATAGTTGTTGTATTTAACAACAAATTAATGGATGTTTGGACTAAACGTTTTTGCACAATGACATATGACCTTTCAGAAAAATTCCATGCAACATGAAGAAAACAACAAAAGCCTCACATCATCAAAATAGAATCGCAATGTGTTCAATGATTATCTAATAGAACAAGGATATTTGCATTCTTCAGCATCAGAACATTAATCCCAAAACTAATAATTACGAATGTTTTTCAAACGATTAGTTAATCAAAAACTGCCGCGGAATGACGACCTTAACATATACCGACCTACGAAATTGACTTAAGCAAAAAGTGACACTTAATAAAAGAAATATGTTGTTATTAAATTTTGAAGTTTTTTAGTATAAAAGAGTACATCCGTAATTGATTATAATTTTATTAAGAAAAGGCAAATGATCCTTTCCATATGATGAAAAAACTATGTTTTCTAAAATATGCTTAGATTAAAGAAAATTTTAAATGAAGTAAACAAATGATTCTATAGGCAATAACAAAAAAAATGTTTCAATTGCTCTTGGTATTGCCTCTGTTCTGATGATCTATGTTCTATTGTTATATGCTAGGTTTCCCTCTTCAAAAATTGTTACACATAGTATCTTCTCCTACTCTATTTTACTTTATATCTGGACAATACATGGAATGAGCATTAGAGTATGGCAGAGATAAAGGACCGCGGGTAAGAAGACCCACCGCCATTATCTCGAAAACGAGTAAAGTTAGAAAGTTTTTAACAACAATAAGTAGACGGCTTTAATTAAAAAAACAGTTCAATTATCATTCCAATTCTGATGATGAATATTTCTGACAAGGTTCTGTATGAGGGTTGTATCCAGTGCGATCTTTTGTGCATTTAGACCGCACAGACACAAAAAATGTGCATATGAAATATGTTTTTGAAAGAAAAGTTGTATTCACTTTATTTATAATATTTGTATTTCAATGCAGACTAAGTCTGATTGTGATAAATTTAACAAAATACATACCAAAGCATCAAATTATGATAATAATACGAGTTGATAATTATTTGATTATTATATTTAAAAATACCTATTTAGATTATGTAGTTCAATTCTGTTGTTCAACCTAATAATAACGTCATCGCATTAAATAAACTAGTGGTAGCATCTTGGCATCCAGCAAAAAAACGTATATTTTGGCCATTTCTTTTCGGGCGGAAGAAAAAGTAATATAATCATGATATCAAGGATAGTTATTTATTGCACTTTGAAGTAACAAAATAAAATGTAATTGTAAAAAAAAATTAAAAACGGCGAGGCGGTACCACACCCATTTCGGCGAGCCGCATCAAATCAGCAATATCATATAGTGAATCCTTATATGAGCAGACTCTTTACCGATTATCAAATGCTTAAAAATGCTTTTACAGTTTATTTATACAATATAAATGCTTTATAATAACATTTTTAGGATATTTAAGAAGATACACGTTGTCATTTAGCTTTATAATATTTTTTGTTAATGTATTTGAGCGGTGTCGGTTCGGAGCAGTCCGACACGCATGGGAAATAAAGTTATAAGTATGAAATATTTATCCTCATATTCTGAAAGGTTCAAAGTATATTTTAGACCTAAATTTTTTTTTTTTTTTGGTTTTTCGAAAAATCTACGGTGGTGTAACCCTTTAAGGCAAATTTCTATTTCGTAATTCAAAAAATATTAAATGTTTTCAATTATATTATTATAAATACTGTAACTTTCATTATTTATATTTTATAGACAAAAGAGAAGAGCTTATGAATCAAACGATGACGTTTATATAAGTTTACATAAAAAGTGAATAAACAAAACTTAATGAATCAGAGTTAGAATTTCATATTTCTAAGAATTAGATAAACTGATTTGCAAAGTTTAAATTATTTATCTCAAGTATATAAGTAAGCTTTAGAAATATAAGGCAAATTAAAATTAAAATCCGAATTATTTGCGATATTCAAAAAACAAATTTAGCTTTCTCCAAAAATAATAGTTTTGTCAATGCAAGCAAAATGTTTTTTTAATCATTCAAATCAGAGGCTTCTCACAAAAACTGCCATTGTTTGCACATTTAGCTCACTATCTCCGGCTGGACCTGCCTTTGCCAAAAACTAATCACCACTTTTCCCCATTATTACGAATATAATGTTTTTTAACCATTCAAATCGGTTGTTCCGTACTCTGAAAAACTAGATTTCTTTTTTCTACACTCTTCGCCTTGTATCTCCGGAACGGCTCGACCAACTTTTGCTAAAAACTAATCAGCACGTCTCCTCATCAATAGGAATCGATTGGTTTTTGAATAATTCAAATCGGTTGACTGCTCCCAAAAACGTCGACGAAAAATTGTATTCATACTACATACACACATCCTTTTTTACAAAGCCAAAATGTTCAGAAACTCTGAAACGTGAAAATATGCAAAAAATTTCATTTTCGATTTTTGGCCCATTTCTATAACTAACCCTACGGGAAGTTAATAATGTAGCTATCATGCCATAAATCATGTTTAAAATAAAATAGTGGATCTTTTTGCTCCTTAGCCGTGCTTTGTACCTCCATAAAGTAAAAAGAATCAGGTGACAAATTTTTGAAAAATAGCAAAAAATACGGTCCTACAATGATGAATTAGCTGGGAATTATCCTGAACATAGTCAGTTATTTATTTGTTTCGATGTAGTTGGTTTGATTTTCACAGTGCAATTGCTCAAAGTCAAATTGTACTTTTGTTCCCCGCCGAAATCAGAATCTTAAACAATAGAGACATGGTAATTACAGAGTCGTACTGCTTTTGAACAGAATAGGCGAATATTTGATGAAAGAATTATCAAAAAAGTGCAAAATCCCCAAAAGTGTGTCCAAAGATGCTGCATCATCGTTGCCGCGCACGCGAAGAGACGATGGGTTGATGGATGGGTGATGTGTCGTCCGTCCAGAAGGCGACAATAGAGCAAAGGCGGGATAGAGGCCGCGGAGTGGGGCTAGCGCAAGACCTCGCGTAGTATCGGAATCGTTTCCACCGGTCAGTTCGTTCAAGTATACAAGAAAGAACAGTCGGAGAGGCGACACTCTTGCAAAATCGCGCATGCCGTCCGTCAACACGCGAAAGTGTACTAGCATGCTATTTATTCAAAATCTTTTCGAAATGTCTGTGTTGTAATAACCGTCGACGGAACCGATTCGCTCTCATTCGAAACACGGCTTGGTGAACGGTGGATTATATATTACTGATTACAAGTGGATTAATTTAAATTAAGTACAGTGTGTTGCTGTAGTGTACAATTTCGTTGTGAAGTTTAACTGTTAATTGGCCAAAACGGAAGGAAAGCTCAAGAAGGATAACGTAAGGCAGGAACCGGCCATTGGGATGTCTGTCTTACCGTCGCGTGTGACGCCGCCTAACCCCACCGAAATTCCCATCGGGTGTGTTAATATTTACAATTTTACAAATATTTTAATATTCATATTATATTTGTGCTTGATGTAAATCGCTGATTAATGAAATATTGTTCAGTGTATAATCCTTATTCCTTAAATCGATCACTGATAATCGATCAATTGTGATTGCCTTGCGACAGTTTAGCGAAAATGAAGTAGCGAGTATTCAACTTGCGTAACGCATGTTTGGTCAGTCTGTCGATTGTATCGATTGCGTACTTAATTCCATATGAATAATATAATTAGCATCGTGTGGCCTCATGGAAATTACGAGCGGGAAATTTCAATATCGAAGACGTTACTGTCATATTGCTTTCGATATATCTTATAATTAAAACAAACTACTGCTCGATTAATTACCATTTTTACAAACCTTAGTGGAAACTGGGTACGGTTGTGCCAGGGTACGGTAGTTACAGTCATCATCACAGCTAAACTATACTAATTCTGAAATAGGGCCCAAAGCGAGAAAGATGAAGCATTCGTGTTCAAACAAATTTCCATTATTGCTTTCAGTCAGGGCTTTACATAAACATAATCTGAAGTTTCCATGTTCGAATTATTTTAATAATAACTGTTAATTGTATACAGATAGATTACTTTGTTTGTCATTTTGCTGAAAGTTGAACATAAGTAGTTAATTACCAGTAATTAGTTTTTGCGTAGATAATTTAGCTCAGTCATAACGATGATTTGTTTTGAAAAGTGTGCATTGGATAAGGTTGTGACAAATTTTGTGGGAACGGTTGTGAACATTTTTGTCCTTTTTGCCTGATAAGACAAAATCAAAAGAGAAAGGAAAAGGAAAATGCAATACAAAAACAAAAATTATACAAAGAATTCTTGTTTACATTGTTTAATATGTTTGTTATATTTTATTCAAAAGCTTTGTTTAAATAATCATGTTGTGTTGTGTTATATATTTCTGACAAGAAAAGTCTTTATAAACGATTTTGGTGTTCATACCTATCGTCCTGGGGTTGTGAACGATTATGACATTCTTTTCTTGTACAATTTGATTTTATGTCAAATCCATCGTATTTAAGGACAGTATTTCAGTATTTCGACGTAGATCAATGTTTAAATTACCATTTAATTTAATTTTCTCCCAGATAACTGGTTAATTAACAAAATAGTAGTTGATCAAAAAAATGGCACAAACGTACCCAGTGTCCCCTACTATTTGAAATCATGAATTATGAATCATAAGTATAACAATATTTGAGTGTGCATAATAATTGTAAATGGCATTTTCAACATATCTTTACATGTGGAATATTTACATATATGTGGCTCTTAATTCCTTTGAGATTTCTATATGTGTTTATATACACAATTTGGAAAATGATTACCAAATAAGAAATTTTAATTTAGTCTTTGAGAATATATAAACCTCGAATGTTTTTTATTTAAAAGTATTTAACAACGCTTATATCATTTATATAATCGTAAACATAAAGTAGTTTAATTTACGATGTTCAACTTTCCTTTATTCGGAATGCAAATTATTTACTAAAATTGGATAACGGATGTAGTATTACAAATATTTGACAAACGTGTTCATAGACAGATTAATTTATGTTGCGAATAATAAAATAGTTATACGGTACATGTAATATTTTATGTGTTTTAAACACAACTATATACAGTAATACAACTTCTATAACTGAAAAGAAATGGTTTCACTATCGATGATTTTTTAAATTTATTGACATAAGTCTTCTGAAAAGATTCTGAAAACAAGTTTTTTTTGGTAAGTCCATAATGCAAATTTCGCATAGTATAATAAATGGTTGCATAATAATACTTTCAAACAAGTGTGATTTCGTTGTTCAGCCGTCTGGCAAAATCCGGTGTAAAGCTTAAAAAATTCTTGATATCTATAACGATAGTCGGTATCTATTTTAAAACTTCTGAAAAGTTTGTACGCTTTTATGCTTTCATGTGTATATAGGTCGCACCCGTAATACTTGGCTAATTACCAATGCGATAATATGTCTCCGGGCGTTCCGCAGACACGCGTCCACCAATAAATGAATTGCGAAAGAAAAAAAAACGTATTTGCTTTGAATGAAATACATCTTTATTTTCCATTATCTAACGAGACTCAAGACTATTTATCTGACAAATAACTATCGCATAGAATTCCACAAAGTCATTCCAACAGGATGCACTTTCTTTCCTTATCTCGATGCTTTTAAAAAATTCCTGCGTAAAAATTGCGCTCGTCAAGTTTTTTGTCTTCCTGTCGAGTAATATAGAGACATGTCATAATTTTAACTATAAGCAACTGGTGTAATATAACCATAGGTTGCATTGTTTTTTGCAGTATGTTGCAATGTAAAATTTGTGATAAATTACGTGCACAGTTTGATAGGAAAAGTATTTAAATCAGAAAAATACAGTAAACAACTGTAGTGTACTTATCACAAAGGAGTAATTCATCAATGTATTTTATGCATACAAAGAACAGCTATAAGTTGCTATAAAATACATTCTTCATTTAAGTCAATGCTCTATATGAATAATTGATAATTTGTTTTTTACTATCCTCACGTACTTACAATTAGAACATTTACTATTTTTATTCTTTATTATCTTCATATATATATATATATATATATATATATATATATATATATATATATAGCTACCGTTGTGCCACTTTATTTGTTCAGTCATAATTTTGTTAATTTACCAGTTAGCTGGAAGAGAAAAAAATTAAATAGCAATTTGAACATTTGTCCACTGAAATACTGTCCTTAAATACGATATATTGATCTTAAAATCAAATCATACAAGAACAATAGCGAGTGTCACAACAGTCTACACTCCTAGAACGGTTGTGACAGACAATATTGGTTATAAACACCAAAATGGTTTATAACGACATTTATTGCCAGAAATATATAACACAACACAACTTAATCATTTAATCAAAGCTCATGAATATAATATAACAACATACAGCAAACAATCTTTTAAACAAGAAATCTTTGTGAAATTCAATACAAGGAAATTGAAATGAATTTTTTTTTTCTCTTTTGCATTTTGTCTCAGCTAAGTTAGATTTTTCTTCATCTGTTTAATCTTCACCCGCAAAGGACAAGACCCACAACAACGTCATTATGAATGAGCTAAATTATCTACGGATAAACTAATTGCTGGTAATTAACTACCAATTGTTCAACTTACTGCAAAACATTAAACAATGTGATCCACATCTTCCCCCTTTGGACCCTATGCCAAAATCACTATAGTTTAGCTGTTATGGTGACTGTCACTAACGTACCCTGGCACAACCGTAACCATCTAACTTTTTTATAACTGATTTCTTCATTCTTCTCTTCTACTAAATCTGATTTTTTAGGATTCTAATCTTGATTTTTCTCCTTACCTCCAATTTTATTCAAATTCAACCCAACAATTCAAGTTCTACTTAATTTTATAATTACTATGTCGGTGACAGAACTCGATCCGAGGATCCCTGTCGTATGAGTCGGGCACTTTACTGACTGAGCTATGCCCGCCACAGATAATTGAGTAAAAATAAATATAAATCATTTATTTTATGTAATCATTACGTCAATTATAATTAAATAATTATTTTTTTCGACGAACTTCAAATAATTTTTAATAGATTCGACGAACAAAATTAATGATTAAGACAAGAACTATGCACATTAATTCAACACCTTGAATTAATATTAGCACTTCAAACTTTGAATATTTATGAATTGATCTGTATCAGTACCAAATTATATATTAATTTATTTGGAAAATATATAAAAAAAACAAAATATGTAAAATATATAATTAACTATTTAAGATAAAGAAAGGTTGAATATTAGCACCTAATTAAAAACTGAAAAATAGACTGTTATTCTAAATGATTCATACACCAATAATTCTCAAGGCAAAAAAAAAATAATTTTGTGTTTATAATATAATTATTTGCTTATTAAATATAGACTCCCAAAATAAATTTTCTGTTTTCAATTTATTCTTAACATCAGCTCTGAATTATATAACAAATTCTAATTTATTTCTTGAAATTTTACAATTCATTCTAATGCATATTAATTATGACTTTATATTATTATATTTTTGATTATATTATTTATTATTTAGGAATGTCATTAATATGATTGCGTTCAGGAATGCAACTAATTATAAAATAAAATAATTTGATATAAATGAAATACTTCATTGTGTACGAACTCGTAATAATAGATTTGTGACAAATATATATATAGGAAAATGGTATTGATATTAAATGAGTTCTCAGCAATATTTATTATATATGGTTTTGCTGGAATATGTGGCTGTGACATATCATAATCGTTTAATAGAAAAGACTTATATAGCGGAAAAATAGAACGTTTAGGAATTGTTCCTACAATTCCTTAATGCGGAAAAAAATGTCTAGAGAAATATCTAGTTACTTGAGAAATGCTTTTATATATTATTTATTAAGTGACTGATTGTGTTTTTGAATTTTGAATTACAGTATATTAGTCCTATAAAATTATTAGATAAAATGATAAAAACATCTTCAAAATCCAAAATTTACAATAAGGAAATGATAAGGCTAGACTGCCTGTAGACGACAGCACCATGAGCTGATTTGAAACTTGAATCAGGGAATATATTTAGTATATATTTACTATATTTTCAAGTAAAACTGAATATATATATATATATATATATATATATATATATATTCAGTTTTACTTTGTACCAATAAACTTATTTACTATTATATCTTTATTAAATAATGCTACCCTTGCAAGTGTTTTAGTGCACATTTAAATTTTGTGCATTGAAATTTTTATAAAAATATAATTTACCAAATTTAATATGTGAATAGTTAGATGAAATAATACTGGCCTTTATGCAATAACTTCAGTATCATAACATAATGTTTGCCGATTTGGCTCATATAAATATTATAATACAAAATTTACACGGGCGATTGGACGAAA